CTCTATAATCTGTCTCTGCCACCGACAGTGTGCTGCAAGGGTTAAGGGTTTGGGACTCAAGTTCTGATCTTTCTACTTGCTTGCTATGTGACCTTGGAAATAGTGTTTAATCTCTCTGTGCCTCAGTTTATTCATCATTAAAACAGGAAAATAGGCTGTGTATAGTGGCTCATGCCAATGCACTCCTCAGTGCATTGGGAGGATGAGGTAGGAGGATCACTTGGGGGCCAGGGGTTTGGGACCAGCCTGGGCAACACAGCAAGTCATCCATGTCTCTATAAAAAATAAAAATTAAAACAAATTAGTCAGGTGTGGTGGTGCAAGCCTGTAGTCCCAGCTATTTGGAAGGCTGAGGCAGGAGGATCGCTTGGGTCTAGGAGTTGGAGGCTGCAGTGAGCTATGATTGTGCCACCGCATTCTATGTGGGCAACAGAGCAAGAGCCTGTCTCTAAAATAACAGAAAGTAAGATAAAATGGAGAAACCATAGGGTTTTAATAAGTGCGTTAAACCCTATTAAAACCACAGGGTTTTAAAACATAGAAAGTTCTTAATAGACATCAGCTCTTTTCCTCTCCCCCCTTCCCCAGGCTGGAGTGCAGTGGTGCAATCCCAGCTCACTGCAACCTCCCTCTCCTGGATTCAAGAGATTCTCCTGCCTCAGCCTCCTGAGTAGCTGGGACTACAGGTGCATGCCACCATACCCGGCTAATTTTTTTGTATTTTTAGTAGAGACGGGGTTTCGCCACATTAGCCAGGCTGGTCTGGAAGTCCTGGCCTCAAGAGAGCCTCCCACCTCAGCCTCCCAAAGTGCTGGGATTACCGGCATGAGCCACTGCGCCAGGCCCCTCTGTTTTTATTTAGACAATATCTTGTTTTCCTGTTCTCTCTGCAAGAGGAATGCACACTCTAGAAAATGTCTCACTACTGAATTGTTATCTTGTGTCCTGTTTTTTGTTGTTGTTTTTTTCCTCCTGTTAGGTATTAAAAACTTTGGGGGAACAATTTGGAAGTTAAAATTAATTCATATAAATAAACAACAAAGTGAAGTATGTTATAGTTGCCTACTTAACCACCTGTCTGCTATCAAAATGACATTCTCTTGGTTATTTAGCTTACTCAGTGATGACCAAAAGTCATTTCAGCAACTAGAATCAGATATGGAAAACTATATGGAAAGACTGCTGTTTTGACTTTTACAGGACAATGTGAGCCTCTCGGGAGCTGAGGAGATTACTCTCTTTAGGCTTATATCTTCTATGGATTTTGCATCAATGAATATTGTTTTATCAAAAGAACAAATAACAACAAACAACAATGGGAAAAGAATTCCAGCTCGGACAGGCCCTTTGGCTCATTCCTATAATCCTAGCACGTTGGGAGGCTGAAGCGGGCAGATCACAAGGTCAGGAGATTGACACCATCCTGGCCAACATAGTGAAACCCCCTCTCCACTAAAATACAAAAAGTTTAGGGCGTGGGGGCGGGTGCCTGTAGTCCCAGCTACTTGGGAAGCTGAGGCAGGGGAATTCCTTGAACCGGGAGTCGGAGGGTGCAGTGAACTGAGATTGCGCCACTGCACTCTAGCCTGGCAACAGAGCAAGATCCTGTCCTCCCCCCTCCAAAAAAAAAAAGAAAAAGAATTCCAGCTCTAAGTAGACATTTAGAAAATACTCATTTGGGCCAAGCACCAGTGGCTAACGCCTGTAATCCTAATACTTTGGGAAGCCAAGATGGGCAGATTGTCTTAACTCAGGAGTTCGAGACCAGCCTGGGCAACACAGTGAAACCCTGTCTCTACAAAAATACAAAAAAATTTTCTGGGCCTGACTCGGGTGCCTGTAGTCCCAGCTATTCAGAAGGCTGAGGCAGGAGAATTGCTTGAACCTGGGTGGCGGAGGTTG